CTTCTCTGCCGCGCAGCCACCAACAATTGCGCGAGGGCTACAAATACTGTGAGTGTTACCAAGGTCCCCTACGCAAGCTCGAATCCGCGATCTCAGATTAAAAGGCAGGCTTGTGATACTTTAGGCTGCGGGCCGGCTCTGCACCCGTGAGACTTCTTACGAATCGTTCGATTAACTTTTCCATGTATTTATGCTGACTATCACATTGAGCACACCAACCGTCATCTCAAGAGTGTGCAAGATGAAGGTATGGGGTGGCTGCGAACCCATTTGGCTTGGAGTGCATAAGTTGAGCGACCCTACATAAAATATGTCCTTTGGTTTGAACCACAGTTCAAATAATCTAACATCATTGGTTGCCAAGTCTGGAGCAGTTATTTCTCAGCCAACTTTAGTAAATAACTATGGAGCGTAGGAACAAAACATAAGACTAGTTCCGGCTGTACATCCCAGGATAAACCTTTTGTTCATGCTCACCTTCCTCCAAACTTTCACTCACAAGGCAATGCGATAAACTAGTGTCTACTTGGGTGACTTCACTTTTGCGATTTTGCATTAGCCTGATTTACATCATAGTGAAAAGATCAGTCTCAGTCCTGGCTGGCGTTCGTCGAATTTTGATGTTATCTGCTTCGGTTTATTACTGGTTTACTTTTTTATACATCCTGTCGCAGCTAGGCAGGATTTTCTAACGGTGCGGCAGTTTGAGTACCTCACCTGTTCAATCGATGTGAATGACGCTTTTAAGTGATTAAAGAGCTATTCCTACCTCAGGGTCCCATGATTAGAAGTATTCACCGTTGTGGTTGAAATTGGTTTGGGGCCTGTTGCCAAGCTTTTTCTACACCCCGATCAGGCTTTTGAGCAAATGACCGGCGCCCTGGATATTTTCTAGCCACATAGAATCGTGCCTCACTTTTCCTCGGCCACATGTTATCCTTCACGATATCCAGAAGGGTTCCTCGTATTTACAACCCACGGCGGAATAAGTAAACGAAAGCGGCCCATTACCTATGCGCCACCACCACCTTTTCGTCTGTTTTTCTCACCCCCCCCGTATCTTCCGGCGAACGTACTTACGGTTACCTCGACAGTGAACTTTCATCACTTGCACTTTTGTCGCCACAGCGCCCCTTTATCGTTCACCAGGCCACTCTACCTGACACTCTTGCTTGCATTCGATGTGTGCACTTCAAGACATGTCACTCAGCGCTTGCACAAGTGTGCCGCATTTTCGAAATGAGAACTTGTGGCTCTCGTGTAACCGATCTCAGCTAACGCTATTTCGCGTGATTGGTCGGACAACTTTGGGGATTCTAATGTAGCAACACCAGATCAATTTGGTGGGAGCCTTGCCCACAGTCCTAGAGCGGATCCCCGCCAGTTGCATGAGTCCTCGTGCGTATTTGTCTGCTTTCAAACCGTTTTGACGATAGCAGCTAACGCTAGCTAACAAACAGTCCTTAGCCGCTGCTTGTTCATAACTGTGACATCCTCTCCAGCTGGCTACAGTCCTTATACTTCTACAAATGCATCCTATGACGAACTGAACACATTACGTATAGCTGCATGGTTATTTCTGGGTGAAATCTTCCTTAGGCACATTATTCCAATAAAAAGTTTGGACCAACAATGTTCAATCGTTTTCTACTAACGCCCAGTCGTCTCCTCAAGAGCAGGTCCATCACTCAACGAATGCGCTTACCTACCTATTGACTGAAGAATTCCTAAAGTATTATTTTTAGCAACAGGCTGAAAATTGAACCTTCTTGGGTTGGGCTACGCAGATGCCTTTATGAATTAGCCTACTTATATCGTGTTAGTAGCTCGACGCGCTTCTGCGTCGAGTCCTTTGACTTCTGTTTACCGGAGATAGAAGCTCTCAGGAAACGAGATCGTTTTCAACCTGGCTCAGATCCATAACAGAAGATCTAACGTAATGACACTTGGTGTGCCGCCTTAACTCTTTGAGCTCAGCATTAGGTGAAGTGTTTTTGCTTTACTCCCGGATCATGGAGAATAGTGCTTGTTTGTTGCAATTTCTTTACACATATCCGCTGTTTTAGGTTGGTCCCAACTTGATGTGTGGAGTATTCTGATGTCGCAGCGATGGACGCAGTTGCATTACCCGTACCTCGGCTCTGTTCTCGAGCAATGTGATAGGGAGGTATGGACTCAAACAGTTCGTTTGAATTGGTAGCATGTTCCTGTAATTTAACCGCGCATCTCTTTTATTGGGTGTTCATGAAATGTTTCTCTGGAGGCCTGGTAGTTTTTTACCACACTTTATATCATAACTTTGATCACGTTAGCTCGCGTTTTTAAACTATTTCGGATAATAACCTTGCGCTCCAATCGGTTGCAAGTGGCTATTAACGGCCAACGTTGGCAGCGAACAACACCTACTGTCTACTCTAATGTGAATCCATCTAGTTCATCGCAGTTAGATTACAAGCCGCATAGGTAAGCTACCAATCCGGAAAATCACTAGCCGATCGTTTCGTCTTATTGGGACTCGTAAATGGTGCGTAATCCCTCGGTCCATCGCTGTAGATCGAACCCATGACCGCTAGTGGCTTGTACCATGAGCCATAGGGAACGATAGGCGACCATCACAGATTGAAACCTAACTACCATATAGTCCGCTCCATCATATGCGGCTTGTAATCTAATTGTGCTGAGCCAAATGAAATTATTTCCAAATTCTTCTACTCATTATTTATCAAAACTAAGTCTTACCAGTTTTCACAATGATGTGTGGATTCACGGCATTCGTAAGGCTAATCCTCACCCTGACGACCAACCATTGTCCTCTGCATGGGCAGTAACCTGCATGACAGTGGAGGATGGATCGGGCTATATCGCACTTAGGTTTCAATCCCTGATGTTCGGCTATCGTCCCCCATGGCTCAGTGGCACAAGCTACTGGCTAGTGACTCTTGCCGCTGACAGTCATGGGTTCCATCCCCAGCAGGTGACCCAAAGAATGCGCACCGCTAACGAGCCCTGGTAGGACCAAACGACCGCCTGGAGCTTTCCCGGATCGGTAGCTTACCTATACGATTTGCAATCTAATTGCAGTGATCCAAATAGAATCAAACCCAAATCCGTCCACTCATTAGTAATCAAATATGCTGGTTGATTATGTAGATATACGTGTGGCTTTACTCGCTCTCACAGCTGTACCACGTGACCCGTCTCCCCTTGTTTGAACGCTTAGTGTGGGCGTCGTCGGTCAGCTACTCGACTTCGGTACGTAGAGTTTCTCGGGACGTCCTCACTGCTACGCCATTAATCTCCATGGGTCATGCATTTAGCTACCAAATTGTTTTTTTCACCTACGGTCCCACTGGTCGACCTGTTTGATCTACTCCAGGGTAGACCGAATTCCGGATTGAAACTGCTTTTCGTTATTCATGTGCGCAAGCGGTGCTCCGATAAATTTTACAATAAACATTGATGAGCATGTACTACGTCATTGGCTAGATGCTAGCTGGTTTGTGACTAGTGATATCAAATCAGTTTGTGATCCCCAGTGTCATTGTCAACCCGAACGCTGGCCCTTTACCAATCAAGTTAAGCGAATAGACTGTCAACTAAAGTCTCATCAGTCTCTGCCGAAATTGTCTGATTTCTCTCCCTTGCTCTGCTTCATGCTGGTGGCTTTAACTGCATTCAGTGCAGTTGAGCGGATCATGTAGGCACGCAAACAATTGCACCCCTTCAAGCTTCAGTCTCTTAACGGCATACCGACATTTTGGTTCGCAGTGTGGCTCTGTAATCTTGGTCGGTTCACCCTAGGTTACCCCACAGCTCTTGTCTTCCCTCATGCTGTTAACTTGTGCAATTCGAACCGAGTACAAATCACCGCCACCATTGCGTGTTTCCAACAAAGCATTGTCCACGTATTCATTTTTCCTTCACTTGCGATTCCTTAATCCGAAAGCCTTCTCATTAGTGTCTCCACAGATTGAGTATGTGAGCTGAATTCTTCTTTTTCTAAGGTTTAACTATCACTTGTTTGGCACATATTCCACTACAGCGGGTCTCCCAGTTTACGATCTAAAAGACCGAGGGGTAAGTACTCTACTGAGTACGAGGTCGCACTGCCATCTGTAGGCTGGCTGCTCTCTCATCACTACGTAATCGATCGGCCGCAAAGTTTTCATGCCTTTTCTTTTTGTAAGTGCCTTTGTTTCATTGTGCCGATGTCAGATTGCCCTACGTTATCATTCTGTTTGCACACACACACACACACTACCTCTGGTATTGCACTGCTGTCTGGACTGTTGCATTCAATCACCAGTTCGATCCGCATCACCGATTATTTCCATGCGTGGAGTGCAAAAATTGAACGATGCTTATCCATAAGGCGCTTCCAAAACAGCTAGTCCACTACGTATCCGGAATAGCACTAGGCGCTGTCTCATCGTAGTCTGGTTTATCAGTGATGCGCATTCCACGGCTCCATCAGGATCCACATCCACGGCATCTTGATACCAACAGCTTAATCTAACATCAAATCCGTTAAGTGCATCTCTCATATTTTCTTACATTTAACTTGCGTTTGAACCAGTTTCATAAGTTGTATCTCAACCTTTTTCTGAAGTCATACAGATTCCTGTTTCTGAGGCGATTCTCATCATCATGGGAAGTTGTGTAGGCATCTTTTTTATCTACATTACACGTACGTGTCCTCTCCAGTGGCAGGGGATACATCTGTTATCAATAACAACATGTCTCTCTGCTTGCGCCTTGTATTCATAAAGCTGACTTCCGTGGTATTTTAGACTTCTATCTGTGCAATGATACTTCCTTTTTACCTCTTTACACCGTACTCTAGGCATCCCTTCACTGCTAACACTCGACAGTTCTCTTTGTTTGTGATGCGCGGCTTCGTATTTCACGCGGTTTACTTATTTGTCGAACTTTCTGCTGTACCTTAATATATTCCTGCTTCCTTCTTTTAATACACTCGTTTCTTCCCTCTGGTGATTTAGGCCTGATTGTGAGTACGCCGACTGGTAGCACAGCCTACTCCATGGCAACAGGAGCAAGCATGCTACATCCGTGTGTTCCTGCTTTCCTTTTGACCCCGATAAATTCACTCACTCTGAGCTCTCGTGCGATTGTGTTACCTACGTCTTTGTGCATGGAGATCTGTATCAATCCAACGGCTCGCTGCAAGGTGGCCCATTTTTCATTTGATGGACGTTCACGCGCTTCTAATCTGATTCGTGATGGTGACTCCATCTTGATCAAAAGCTCTTCTTACCCTATGCCATGTCTGTCAGGCACTGACCAGGTGAGTACCGAAGGTCACTTCTTATCTTCATTCCTTTGCTGATTTTTCTGTTTCGCAATCTACCACTGGCACAGGTGATACAGGTCGAAATTTGCATACATTTTGTATCAGGTGCGATAGAGCAAGTAGTTTTATAGCACCCATTTTCTTCCCTCCGCGGAACCACGTTGCATCTTATTTGAGACTCACTGTTATTGGCTACTTGCGGCTGCCTCATCAACCAAGAACACAACGTCACTCTCTTAATCACCCCCTCCCTCGTATATGTTGCTAAATTGGAAGATCTTTTACGCCATCCACGTTTCCTCAACGCTATGCGGCAACTATAGCATACTGTCAACTATGGAACTATCTTCGGTTGTATTGTGCGTTCCTAAGGTAAATACATGTCTACATTTTGGAGGCACTCACCTCGATCCCAGCTATCTCATTTTCCATCGTCCTGCGAATCACTGGACCAGCGTTCCTAACGCGTCCGTGCACTGCGATGTGGCCATCATTCACACAGCAGGATCTGCGTTTCCAAAGTGGTGGCCTAAGCGCCTTCCTATCAACAGAGCGGCATCTCGTTTTTCGTGCAACGACATCGCTTCATGTGTTTCCACAGGCATGCGCTGTTCTTAATGCCATTAGTGCTTTTGACCCATTGCAGATATTTTCAACGGACTACTTCAGCAGGTCACTGCGACTCCGGTGATGAAGCCACGACCCTAAACGCTCGGCAACCGGGTGTTAGCCAGCCTGTCCCCTCCTAAATTATTCATCCTTTTACTCTCCATTTTTGATTCCCAGCCTCTTTGTCAGACAGTCCAGTTTGCTACAGACATTTATGCCTTGCCGACCATCGTCGTCGTCGTCGTTATCATCATCATCATCATCATCATCATCAGCATCATCATCATCGAGCGATAATACGAAATCTACCAGTAACATCGTATGAAACGGAAATGGAAAGGTGTAGACTTGTAATCCCTAACTTTACGCGCGGTTTGCGCAGAAGAAATACAAATGCAAATTCTTGTAACCATAGTTCTCTAATCCAAATTAGAGGGAGTAGATAACTTGCGAGTACGTGTGCAATCGTGGTGAAAACTGCAGATACAGGAAGGCGTAAAGCAGCGTGCAGGAACTTTATTGAATGGCATCTCGCTAATCGGAAGTCCGTCAAATGTGAACTATCTTGGCCTTGAGCAGTCAAGAACATGTTAATGTTGCGAAGGAGAAAACTGAAATGTCTAGTAATTCAGATGTTCAAAGCACACATGTATAAAATTTCGTTTGGAATAGCAGAAGTATTTGACTATGAGTAATGCCATGTCCAGCTTGGAAAAGAAGTAAAGGTTTTTTGGACTGTACCATGGTAACCATCATCCTCAACAACAGTACTTCAGTCATTTGAACTGGTGCTTCGCCGCATTACAACTACATTGGCCTAAGAAGTGAATAATCTTGATAGAAGGCGAACCTAGCGTAAAATTTCATTGCCTTTAGCAAACATTCGGGGTCAAGGCGCTTACACGTTGTCAACTACATACTATCACTAAAAGCGGACTATCGGCATTGGCGAGATAGCTTCTTTGCGCTTTTTATTGTTCTGCGTCGTAATCAGCACCAAACACAATTTAGACAGGCAGTTCAGCAGACGGGCCATTAAGGCTGACTGCGAACCATGTTTTATGTCTTTATTCAACCACAAGGCAGGTATCGCGGACTCTATCCTGAAAAGCGAGACAGACCAATGGGACCCAGTTTTGTAGTCGGTGACTTAATTTCCTGCTTACCTGTTAACTTTTGCTCACCTTGAGCCTTGCGTCGACCTACATCTGGCTAACCGAACGAGAACTTCTTCAGTAAGCGGAGATCAGGCATACGTAATGCGTGCGCGTGCCAACGCAACTTATTCAATGTTATCTGTTGTTCTAAGGAACTAGTCTGAATATCTCCGCTTAGCACTCACGTACACACATCGTTGCATACACACTGGTGCCATCCTACACAGATTGAAGAGGTCACATTTTAATCCTGTATACTGGGACGACCCTCACAGTGGCCTTGTACACCTGATCTTTCAAAATGAGGAAAACCCCTTTCTCACTTCACAGTTGTCGCAGATTCAAGTGTGGGGGAATGAACAATTTAAGTGGTGAGGGTTTTCCATAGTTGGCACGCACGAAGTGAAGAGAAATTCTGGCGGCATTCCATCCGGCTATATTGTGACCAGCTTTAGCTGGTTGCGCCTCAGATTGGTCTTGTGGTTCAGCCACAGAACGTGACGACAAGCATAGTTTGGATTTTTCCGAATCAAATATGTCACTATCATGTCGCCAATCTGGCGTTGATATTGTTCACTGTAGACTGCGAGCACTTTCCTCCTCGGTAAGGGAGACGAAACAGACTTTTGGCATCCGTGGTTGCTCTTTCTTGTGGCATTTCAAGTGCGACAAGGTCATGCCCGTGCCAGGACTGCCAACAATAAATGGCGTATTCCGTATGTGGCGTAGTGTAGTCGTTGAACATCAGAGAGAAGATAGCAGGGTCAAAACTTCCGAATGTCCTCCGCAAAAGACCAAGGTATTGGTTTTTTGATGCTTTCTCGGCCTGACGTGAACAACGAACATCCTCTCGTACCATCACTCCTAGGTCACATTCAGTAGAAGCGCGCTGCAAAACTTCCTCGCTCAGCCTGTACTCGCATGTGAATTGACGGCGCACGCTCAGTGTCTTGCACTTGAGAGCGTTGGAATGTAATAGAGTCTGAGTCGTCCACTCGTATACCCTGTCAACGTCATTCTGCACTACTACCTGGTTACCTGTTGTTTTGAGGGCCAGCCAAATCTTTGGATCTTCAGCGAGGAGTAAGGAATTGGAATTGATCACTCTCGCTGAATCGTTTATGTAATTTGGGAATAGGCGTGGTTCAAGTACTAAACCCTGGGACACTCCGCACTAAACTTCGATAGGATCATAAATGACTCCACGAACTCTGACATTCAAATATCTTACATATATGAACTAACCCATCCGACTGAGGACCCAGTCATCAGTTCCACAGCTTTGACGTTTGTGAAGGAATACGCGATCGTTCAGACGATCAAATGTCAACTTTCACACAGCTGTCGACCGTTTCAGTCCAATTGGAGCGAGCAAATAGCAGGTTTGTGACGCAATACCGGCTCTGGCGGAATTCATGTTTTTCTGGTGCTATAACGTTGCATTATTCCAAGTACTTCATGAGCGCTTCTTCTATACTGCCCTCCATACTTGTGGATAGCACCAGAAGGAGTGTTATCGAGCGATAGTTGACCAACTCTGAACAACTTCTTTCCTTGTGAATGAGAATGATGATTACGTGCTTCGTCATTATTGAAAACCGTGTCTCATCGTGACATTGTTGGAAAAACTAAGAAAACAGTACTGCCAAATTCATTGCAGGCAACTTCAGCGCCAAGAGAGGTATGCTCGCTTAAAAATTAGCCTTTCAGATACGACTAAGTCTTGATGGTGATATAGTTTGCGTGACCTGCATAACGACGAAGCTGGGCTCGAACTTTGTGGAGAATTACTAACGCAGGGCGTTGACCGCTTCTGTTATAGTTTGTGTTCATCCACATGACATATGTAGGAACCCCTCGTTGCACTTCACTGAGTTTGTTGACGTATATCTAAAGGAGCTTTTTGTTTGAACAGAATTTCTTGGCTGAATACTGCTGATGCATTAACTCTTTCTCGCGTACCAGTTTCACGCATTGATTTCGATAATGTAGGCTTCCTATGTTTCGACACCTGGTGATTCCTTGTAATTTCGCGAGAGTAAATTTCTAGTGCCCATACTATTCCTCGACCTGCTGCGTATTGCTTTACTTCCATCCAGCACTAGGACCTGTTCAATGGAACATCATCATCATCAACAACAACAGCAGTACATCAGCCATTTGAACTGATGCTTCGCTGCCATACAACCATGAGGACCTATGAAATAAAGAATAAGAAGAGGGAGAGAAGGGGGACTTACCGGAAAACCTTAATGCCCTAAGCAAACATTCAGGGTCAAGGCGCCTACACCTTGTGTAGACAACATTCCGTCACAAACAGCTTGTTATCGTGCAAAGATAAGGCGGCATCGGCGAGACAGCTTCCTTGCGGCTTTCACTGCCCCGCGTCATAATCAGCCATTACCCCGCAGATAACTCAGCACCAAACACACTTTAAACAGACAATCCGATTAGGAGACGGCAGCAGACGCGTCACTGATGTCTACTGCGAGTCATGTCCTGTAAAGTCTCGAGCCAAGCACAAGGTGAGTCACGTGGACTCCAGCCCGGAAGGCGAGACGGACTAACGGCACCCAGTTTGGTCGTCAGTGACTTCATTTCCCGCTGCCAAGTCAACTTCTGTCCACCTCGAGCCTTGCGCCATCCTACAACTGGTAGAATGAACAAGGCCCTCTTAGGTAAGCGGTGACCAGGCATGCGTAGCACGTGCCCGAGCCAACGCAACTTATTCTGTGCTATCTTTTGTTCTAGAGAGCTAGCATGATTATCACCACCTAGTACTCATCTACGCACATCATCGTTGCGGACACGCTGGTGCCATCCGATACCTGCAATGCTTCGCAAACAACGATGATCAAGGACTTGAAGGCGCCTCAAATCTTCAGACCGAAGGGGCCAAGTTTCACTACCATAGAACAGAACGGCCCTCACTGTGGCCTTGTATACACGGCCTTTCAGACGGAGGGTAACTCCCTTCTGTCGCCAAAGATGACGCAGGTTCAAGAAGGCAGTTCTGGCCTTTGCAATGCGTGAGCTCACGTCAGTTTCTATGCGCCCATCATTGCTGATGCAGCTACCAAGCTAAGTGAATTGATCAACCACCTCGAGTTCCTCGTTAGCAAGCGTCAAGGGGTCATCAAGTGGCTGGTGGTCCTGCAGCAACACTTTGCACCTTGGAGGTGCGAAGTGCATACCAAATAATGGGACCTCTCTAGATAGGCTATCCAG